CAACGACACAGCAAATATTGGATTACGTGTAGAGTGCACAGGACACACAACATGCCAGGTTGCACTAACTTTACAGGCTTCGGGGGCCTGTCCTTTGAATCAGTCACCACTTCTTACAACACTGCTTTTCTGCTCCTAAGAAATGTACCTTTAATGTGAGTTTTATTAACCATTTTATTAGTGAATTGGTTCCATGAAATTTCAGATAATACCCTCTGATTAAAAGACTGGCTCTACTCATTCCAGAAAGGAGACATTGGCATGCCCCTCTAGACTTGGGGGGACCCACAGCTTCCCAGTTCATGCCATTCTTCCAAAGGGAAAAGCGCTTTGATCTGATTCTAGCTTAAAATTGCAGTATCAGGGCCATTGACTTTCAAACTGCTCCAATAAAGCCAGCTGTGGGCAGGGGAGCAGGACACACAGCCATCTAAATATGCCAGCTCTCACAACCAGGGAAAACTAGAGAGAGGTGATTTTTTTTTCCCCCACAAATAGCCATAGTACAAAGACCCAAACTCTAAAAGCTTTCAGGCACCAAGATGACACTACAAGCAAGCCATCAGTTCCCATAGCTGCACCCCACACCAGAGACCAGGTTCTATTCCTCCACTCTGCTTGCAATCCAGCTTCTGACTATTGCACCTGAGGATGCAGGACATGATGGCCAGGTAGGTACTGGATGCCTGCCATCCATGTGGGAAACCAGGATATAATTACCGGCTTGTGGATTCAACTTGGCCAAGAGTTGGCTATTGGATTCACAGAGCTGCAATCCAGTAAATGGACGTTCTCAAGTTCTTAATCTCTCTCCCTTCACCCCCGCCCCATCACCAACACACACCTGCCTTTCAAATAAATACACAGAACCTTTTTTTACACACAGAACATATTTTTAAAGTATACATAGACACTGAAAACACAGCTTAAATTTAGCTTTAGTCTATGGCTATGAGGTGTATATATGGCAACATAAATTAATTTCATGTTCAGTCTTTGGTTCCATTACCAAGATTTTTTATTATTAATATACAAACACTCTAACACTTGGAGAAGAAAAATCCAAAACATGACGGCTGCCTAGCATTGCAGATAAAGGACACCAAACCTTGTTGATGTGCGGCAGACCCTCGGGCCCTTGCCCCAGGTCTGCTATAAGACACCTTTCAGACAACTTCTAACCTATGAAAGCCAACCTTGGCTTCTGGCAACCTGTAGCACCTGAGCTAAATTATAACCAATCACCGGATGCTGACCATCACTCAAAAAGTTCCAAAGTGAGCACACAGAAAGATGCCAACCTTGGAGGGGCCAAAGGACTGACCCCCCACAGCAGGCTCACACAGCCTTTGTCCACATGGCCCACGGCTGTGCCAGGACAGGGAAAGCTCTCCAAGCACGGATGACAGGCGGAATTACAGCACCACCTATCTTCTATCTGTTTTTTTCAGATTTTCTAGACTGGCTACAATATTTTTGAATTGCTTTAACAACTGAAGAAAATCCAGTGATACAGATTCAACCAAAAAAGTAACAATACAAAAACATTTACTGGTATGGAAATTTTTACTATGTAGTACAAATGTTTTAAGAAATGAAGGCTAGCAAAAGAATTCTACAAAACATATAACCTTCATTTGTGCTTGAGGAAATATGTTTACAGCACAAATACAAATATTGTATATGAACACAGTGAACAGGAATATAAAAACAACAGCACGAATTTTTTCTAGATAGTGATACTTTGTGAGTAATTTTAAATATTTTTGTGTGGGGCCCAGCACAATGGCTCAATGGCTCAGTCTCTTATTTTGCAAGTGCCAGGACTCTATACAGGTGCCAGTCCATGTCCCAGCTGCTCCACTTCCCAACCAGCTCCCCACTGATGGCCTGGGAAAGCAGTAGAGGACGGCCCAAAGCCTTGAGACCTGTGCCCGCATGGGAGACCAGGAAGAGGCTCCTGACTTCTGGCTTCAGATCAGATTGGCTCAGCTCCTGCCATTATGGCCAACTGGGGAATGAACCAGCAGATGGAGGATCTTTCTCTCTGTCTCTCCTTCTCTCCATAAATCTGGTTTGCCTTTATAATAAAAAAATAAAACTTAAAAAAAGAGAGAAATTTTGTGTTTTCTGACCTGTAGCTATGTTTATCTTCTGTCATAACAAGCCCTAAGAATGAAGAGGGAAATGTGCTAAATAAATTGGGAATTCTTTGGTATGCTGGTTGCGCTATGCCAGTGGTCACGTGACAACACTGAAATATCTGAGAATAGAAGGGACTCGAAGTCTGATATCACCTTACTGTGCAAATTCTACTTCTGTCCCCCAAGCATTATCAGAATTCTATCTGTCCAGTATTACAACAGATGAAACAGATGAGGCACAAACACTGAGACTGCCAACTACAGCAAATAACTCCAGAATCGGTAGGGAAGACACAAAAAATGTGCCTGTCAATTTCTTAGGCTTAGCCAGCTAGAGAGACACTAACAGACGCTTAACAGTCAACAGGCTGGACCTAGCGTGTTTTAATCAGTACATTAACATTTCAGATGCTACTGGGTAACCTTCCTACTTTCCACATATTTACACTTTTGTAAGAATCCTTCTCTTTTTGTACCATGGCACACATGTGCATACATTGCTGTGTGTGTGTGTGTGTGTGTCTGGAATTAAAGTTTCAGAGTTGCATTTGTCTCCATAAACTAAGGGAAGAAGACATTTCTGACTTCAGAAGGCACACAGAGTTCTTCAAGGTTAGGACGCAAGGTGTGCAAAGTGGAACATGCAGAGAAGATTAGCAGGACCCTGGGAGAACAGAGCGTGAAGGCAAGACGTGAGAGAGACGCTGAGACAAACACCAATACAGGATTCTTCTGCCCTCTGTTCCTTGAGCACCAATTAACCCTCTCTGTTCTAGTCTCCAATTTTCCACTTGGGAAACCTCAGTTGTGTATAACAATCACCCTTTCACCCACAGAATTCACATCTGTTTCAACTTCCTCCAAAACCCTTTTCGGCTCAGATGCACAACAGCCGTGACTGTCAGCAGGTCGAATCACCACTGACTCCCTTAACTCTGAAATGCACCCCTTCCACGGCAGGCTTTGCTCGCACGGCTTTCCCTGGCTGTGGGTTCTGCACAGCGCGCATTGCTGGCTGGATGGGCCAACAGGAAGCCTGCGGATCTTTCTTGCTCTCTCAGCCCTCCAGAGCCCAGGTCAGTCCCCGGAGTCACGGGCTCACCGCACACACTGACTTCCTTTTATTCTATTTCTAGTTGGCCATGGCTTATACTTCTGGAAGAAACGCCCGGGAGACAGGAGAGAAGAGCTCACAACAGCGATTTTGGAAAGAAGGTGGGACTCTCAAGCTTCCCAACACAAAGAAATAACGGATCTTTCAGAAGAGGAAAATGCCGACAATCCCGACCTGACCAGGACACACTGTGCCAAATGCTCACACCCATAAAAATGCACAACTACTACAATTTTCAAAATAGAAACTGGAAAAGAGTCCACCTGACTGACATGAATAAATCAGGCAACAGCAAACACTACAAGCTAATAGAGAACACCGGCCCTTTTCGCATGAAGCTGTAACCGTGTCCAGCAGCTCCAGCAGGAGCATCAGGCAGCACTCAGCACTGCCAGCAGACTCAAGTTCCGGGCTCAGTCTGGGTTTCCGGGAAGGCTAACCAAAAGATGAGCAGGTACGCTGCAGACATCAAACACAGGAGCGCTTCGCCAAGTGGGCCACGATGGAGACACGGAAGACAGGATAGCAAGGAGCATCACACACTGCATTTCAGGGCTGTGCGGCTGGCCTACGTCTTAGATGCCACACTGTTGTCTGTGTTTGGTCCCTGGCTCCCACTCCCACGCCAGCTTGCCACTCGCGCTGCTGAGAGACGGGTGGGGACAGCTGAGAACGTCAGATCCCCGCCAGGCCCGTTAGGAACGCGGGTTGCTCCAGGTGGATGCCTGGCTCTGGCCCCAGCTCCAGGTAGTGAATGAGTAGGCGGGGAGCTCACTCTTGCTGCCTCTTCCTCTCTCTGACTTCATCTCAGGAAGATGTGCAGAGCTGTGGGGAAGTGTTCCTGCTGTCAGACGCCACCCAGAGGACCCACGCTCACCAACAGCAACAGCACAGAGGGAGAAAGAACGGCGCCAACCTCCTTCTGTGGGAGACCTATGGGCGTACTAAGAATGCTTTTGTGAAACAAAAACTTTACATAATCCTTTTTATTAATTAAAAAAGACATTTAAAAACAATTACATGTGCTCTTAAAAAGAAAAACAGTTCCTCTTCGGCCCTGCCTCAGCACTGTTCCCTTTCAAAGGCCCAGGGGGTACTTGATCAAACAAGCTTTACTCAACCTTTGCTGGCGTTTTCTTAGATTAACATCTGGTAGCTGCCAACAGGGAGAGAAGGCAGGCTGTGGCTCCAGAGGTTTCAAAGACAATAAAACCAAAAGCAGGACAGACACAAAGCAAACAAACAACCTTCCTCCGGCAGGACTGGGGAGGAGGGTCCCCGTCGGTTTCTGAGTTGTGTTTTATTTTCCTCCAGTGCCTCTGAAGTCACCTACCTGAGGGTCCCGGGTGGTTAATATTAACAAATCGCCGCCTACTTGTCAAAGGCAAACATCCAGACACGCTAAGCAAAGAGAACAGCAAAGCGCTGGCCACAGGAGCTTGGGTTTCCCCAAGGACGCCCTGCCACCCCGGAGCCCAGTGCTGAATGCCAGGTGCTTGCCAGGTGCTTTGCCCCATGGATGCCCTGCCACCCCGGAGCCCAGTGCTGAATGCCAGGTGCTTGCCAGGTGCTTTGCCCCATGGATGCCCTGCCACCCCGGAGCCCAGTGCTGAATGCCAGGTGCTTGCCAGGTGCTTTGCCCCAAGGACGCCCTGCCACCCCGGAGCCCAGTGCTGAATGCCAGGTGCTTGCCAGGTGCTTTGCCCCATGGATGCCCTGCCACCCTGGAGCCCGGTGCTTACCAGGTGCTTCGCTTTGGCACGCTCCTCCTCACTTGCCACCCTCTCACGGAGGATGGCCCTGGTCAATTGCTCATTGGCAGCAGCCCGCTCTCGTTCCAGCTCTTTACTTTGCTTCAGTCTGAAAAGACAAGAGAGGCTTGATTTAGACAGCACATCTGGTCAGTGAACATGGAATTCTGTGGAAATGAACATCAGATTTAATAGAAAAAAAACCTAGAATCTAAAACCATCACAGCCAAGAGCAAGCGAGCAAGCACCATGTTAACTACCACTGCATTAACCACCACCACGTTAACCACCACTATGTTGACTATCACCACGCTTATTACATTAACCACCACCACACTAACCACTACGTTAACCACCACCATGTCACCCACCACTGTGTTAACGACCACCTTGTTAACCACGACCACATTAACCACCACGCTGACCACCACCACGTTAACCACCACTATGTTGACTATCACCACGCTTATTACATTAACCACCACCACACTAACCACCACCACGTTAACCACCACGTCACCCACCACTGTGTTAACGACCACCTTGTTAACCACGACCACGTTAACCACCACGCTGACCACCACCACGCTAACCACCACTGTGTTAACCGCCACTGTGACCTCCACTGGAGCTGCCACACACACTGGCAAGGGAAGGCCGAGCATATGGGAACTCCATCCAGCTCCTCTTCTTAACACCTCAAGTCCACACCCCACCCACCGCCAGGGCCTCCTCTGAAACCTGAGGTCCTAAAGCTCATTAACAAGCCTTCTCCAAGCACGGATATTTGAAGGCAATCATCATCATCGCTCCAAACCGTGCCAGGCCGTGAAGACACAGCAGTGAACAAGCCAGACAGGTCCCTCTCCTCGGAGGATCACGCACAACAGGACAGACTCAAGGATGCCTTTCTTCCTTCACACAGGGCTAACATGCAAATGTGGCTACGCCTCCCGTAGCAGAGCCCTCCAGGTGGACGGACTCCAATTTGTCCCTGAGCTCCTAAACAGAATGGATCACACACAATCTAGCAAAAATCAGGCAGAATTTAGCTCCTTGGATCTGCACAGCATACTACCATATTAATGGACCCCAAGATTGTAAGAACTATATCAGTAACCTCACGACACAAACAGACTGTATTAAGCTACAATCCACTGGAACCTCTCATTGTATGTGATTTAAAAAAAAAAAAAAACGCTCTGGCACTGCCTTTTGCCAGAGAGCTGGCACATAAAGGCATTCCGGAATCACTGAAGGAGAGAACATTTCAGTCTAATCTCACGGACAAAGGTTTTCTGATTGCCTTTCCTTCTTCGGCAGAATGACCGTGCTCTACCGTCATATCCCCAAAGCTATGAGCTGTCCTGCAGAAGGAACGGGGAAATGTTACACTGGTGTCAGGGAGACTTCGGGAAACCTTACGTGACTGATGAGCACTTAATCCTTCTCAGAACCAAGGTCAAAGTTTAGTTTCACAAAGAATCTTGAAAAGAACAAAGGAAGATAAGACATTTCTATAACTAGCATTAAGTTACCATATCATATTGAAACTTCAGAATTCTCAGAAATCAACTACAACAAATGAAATCATCAGATTAAATGTACCCCAAAATTGTGATCCCCAAAGTTGTGGTTATTTAACAAACAGAAACAAATTAAAACCTGTACTTCAAAACCCTCTAATGACAAACTAATCTTTAGGAAAGTTTCTAAGCAAAAAGTACAATCACATGTACATACAACAATTTTGTGTATTTCTAAAGGGCCATGTAATAAATTCAGCAATTATCAGTGATGCCACCACATTAACTCCCCAGACATGTGTGACTACGAAACACAAGACGAACAGCCCATAAACACACAGCACTGGGTTAACTGTGAGGGAAGCCGCCACGCCACACAGCTCCTGAACCCAGCAGCCAGCCAGCCGCTCCTCTGCAGGTGAGCCTGATGCACGCGAAAGCCAAAATCCAAAGTCCTCCGTTAGCAAAAGTGCTTGTACCCAATAAACCTTAGGGACATGCAAAAGAGAAGCAGGCATCAAAAATAAGATGGGCTGGACAAAGCCACCAATGGGATGCTGGCATCTCAGGCAGGCATCGGTTCAACTCCCACCTACAGCACTTCTGACCCAGCTCCCTGCTAGCGAGGAACAGCAGCAGAAGATGGCGCAGGGGCTTGGCCCAGGCCACCCGGGTAGCAGACCACGGGAAACTCCTCACTCCTGGCCTCGGCTAGGCGAAGCCCTGGCTGCTGTGGCCACCAGAGGAATGAATGCACACAGAGAAAATGCCTTTTTTTTTCAGATTAAAAAAATCTTTTAAAAAAAGAGGATATTATAACTACTAAAGTTATTGCATTAGATTTTAAAACTATGCATTAAAAGCAATTTTTCACCTGCAAAAACATTACTCAATTTTAGAGATATTAACTAAAATAACAAAATTATCATCATTTGTCCTTCACCTCCCAAGGGCCAAGCTCTATGCTAATCATTTTACACATAAACATTCATTAAAACTGACACTACTTCATGAACATAAAATGAAATCTATCTTTTACCATATCAGTGTAAAAAGTTTACAGCATTGCTTATTTTAATAACAGCATTTTAATTGCATTTACTCATGAGTACAAATGGAGTTTTAAGTGACTCCACATTTTAAAATTTGGAGTCGGGGATGAGTATCGAGCTCAGCATCTGAGAGGCCCGACTCGATGCTTACGCTCAACCTGAGAGCACCTGGCTTTGCGCAGCGGCTTGGCTCCTAACGGCAGACCCCTAACACAGACCCCAGCAATAACAGCTCAGCAGGGTGGGTTCCTGCCTCCGCAGAGAAGACACTGGTTAAGTTCCCACCAAGTTCCCACCTCCCATTCACCCTGACCAGCTCCAGCTAGCACACTCTGTTCTCTTTCTCTCTCCCAAATAGGTAACATTTAAAAACACAGGAGCTAGCGCCCAGGCTCAACAGGCTGATCCCCCACCTTCAAGTATCAGAATCATACACAGGCACCAGTTCGTGTCCCAGCTGCTCCACTTTCCATCCAGCTCCCTGCTTCGTTTTCTTCTCTACTTCATTATCTTCAAGGACTGCTGAAACTGAAGACTGACTCTAGCCTTCCCAGACCTCTTTTTCTCTTGTCCATTCAGTTATGAACTTCACATGCACAAGGACTTGATCCATTTCTGGTCCCTGTCACATGTCCAGTCATGTCAACAGTGCGCACCACAGAGCAGGGACTCAAACACCCGCTGACTGTGTGCAAACATCAATGAACCCGCATGGTTCCAGTCCCAGACACAACAAACTACCAAGCCTGCAGGTACCGAGAAGCCACTTGGGAGGGCAGCTGTCCCAGGAGGGCCTGGCTACTGTGTCGCTGCGGGGGCGCACATGTGACACAGCCCCAGCCAAAGGGTCCCCAACTGTGCAGGGCTACAGGACACGGACCCCTCACTGCATTTTCAGTCTCTCAAAGTTACAGGACAGACAGGGATGCATACCAAGTCAAAATACCACTTGCTTTTCTTAGAAAAATTTCATGATTATTTTCATTTAGTCTTACCAGAAGGACAGTACAAATGCTTCAATAGCTGATTTTTTTAAATGTCTGCAAATATGAAAAACCTTATGTTTTGCACAAAGATTGTTTAAGAAACACAACACTGAACTTCAAGGAGTTGGCTGGTCGGACCCAGGACAAACTCTCCTAACAGTAAGTTGGCCCTACGACACAGTGCGCCTCAGTCTTCCCAGCTTTCAAATGTCAAGATTTAACTATATAACTGCAAGGTCTGGCGGATGTAAACATTTCACTACACCACAGTAAGCCTTTGATTTCCTGATCCATAAAAATCCTTGAGAAAGATGATAACAAGGGAAAAACTCAAAGATTAAAATACAATTTTTACATTTTATACTGTAATTTCCACTCAATGGGAATATACATTTCTATCGTGATGCTTGCATTTCCCATTCCTTAACAAAAACTATACACTAAATAAGAGCAACTAAGACTCGCTCAATGTGGTAATTATTTGTGACAAAACAAGCGCTACTTCAATCTCTGAGAAGGAAATCTAGAGCAAGAGGGGCACCTACGCAAACACTGGCTCCAGTCCCAGCTCTCTGCCATGGTGCCTGAGGAAGGGCAGCGGATGGCCTACCTACACCCCTGGGAAAAAAACTGGTTACCTTTCAGAAGCTCGCAACTTTCAACAGCGAAAAAAGGGCTTCCTATCTGGCTTCCCGATTCCCCTCAAGTGACTCAACTCAGTGGCCATCTGTGAAAGAGAGATGTCCACCGTTCTTCTCCGTGTTTGGACCTCACAGCATGACCCCTCTGAACGTGCCTGCCCCAGTGGTAGCCCTCGGGCACACACACAGAAAGGACAAGACCCTCACGGGTTTGGAATATAGCCAAGTGAAAAGGAAGGCAGGAAATAAAGTAAGTCTTCCATTATTTGCTTGGTTCCCAAAGATTCAAGAGTATCTCAGGAAAAAACTCAACTCACCAAGTGCTTCAGTGAACACATTCCCACCTTGTTTACCAGCCAGTCTCCACTTATTACTTCAGATCTCCTGCTCTAACATTATTCTACATTAAGCCCTTGATTTAGGTTTCATTTAGATTTCCTTCTTTTTAAATACATATCTCTCCTCATTGAAATTCTCTGGGGTTTTAAGCAAAGAAGCAGGAGTTTAGTGTAAACTTTTCTTGTTTGCATTAAGTAATTGCATAGCTTGCCTAAGCTTAATGAAGCAAATGCCAGCCACCGTCGCCCTACCCGAGCCCTGCCACACTTGCTCTTTCCTCAGTAAGGCAGACTCACACCCAGCGCCATCATCTCCCACAGTGGAGATCACTGCATAGCCGCTCCAGTGCAGGGGAGGGCCCATTCGGCTCTCACAGACAGCTGGTGTAAAACCTAGTTCTATGTGTTTCAGTCCCAGTGCAAAAACCAGCTGGTACCATTTTATCCTGAAGAATCTAAAGATTTTAAGAAAGTGGGAAAGGAAATTTAAGGATAACTACAGTGAGGCATTTTTTTCTAGATTGAACATCATTATCATCCGTCCATGCAGGAGGAACTGCTATCTC